TCATGAGTCTAATCTCAGGCCCATCCACATTCAAGATTCGTCAATCGTTTTATTTGTTAATATGACTACATGGTAATAACAGCAACTCGGTGATTAAAAAAGTGCTCGTCTGCCTAGTGGCAAACGTTTTTGCTTACTGAGCAGAAGACCGTGGGTTTAGTCCCAAGCTCCTTCGCGTTATATGATCGTTAGGACATCAATTCAGCTTATCGTTTACCAAAACGAACCCTGCTGCAAACCCAACCCTCTTATCCAACATCCCAGTGATTCCTCGTGGAAGTGCAGAGGTGTTCTCGGCTTCCATCAAAGCGAGTGTCATGTCAACACAATCCTTCCCATTCCTTTCTTGACCTGTGTTCGGGCGCGGCCGGCGCTGGTATTGCCTAATTTAAGATCACCAGTTTTTACACATTGAGGATGATTGCTAGTCCCAAGAATCGTCTATTGGTTCTCTGTGTAATTACAGCTGATCTGGCAGTAACAGAGTAGCAACCGTGGGCGGTCAATCAAGCTCAAGCTCAAGCTCAAGGCAGGAGTAACTTCTTATAAGATATATGTTTTTTAAATGTTTTTTAAGTTATGACCATGCTTGAATGTATTTTTTTTTTACTATAGTTGATAAGGTTAATATCATTGGGGCTTCATCCAGTCTCTGTTGACGATATCGGACCCATCAGCACACATGGGCTGGGCCGAACGGCTTTACTTCGCTTTGAAAGTCCCACCGACCTCGACTGGGATTGAACCCAGACCCATTGTGGTGAGAAGCAGTCACGTTTACCACTACACAACCGGCGGCACCGGATACTGACATCAATTTAAACTAATATGTTTTTTTTTATAATCCATTTATTTGTCAAGGCTCAAATGCGTTAGCTTTGCGGAGCCGAATATTTTTTACATGATTATGTGTGAATATCATTTTCTTACTAGTAATGTTAGTAGAACGGGGGCCGATTACTCGCGGTTTACTCGAGATTAGGGATTACATTTATTGATCATTTGGAGGGAGGACAAAGGAAAGCATTTTGAACTAATTTAAAACTTAAACGTTAAGGATGACTAAAACACAAAACATTAAACACATACATCAACAGCTTTAAGAAAGTCGTAACTAAGCTTCATAAAGTCGATATCACGGCAAGCCAAGACGGCTCTAATTGGCTTAAAGGGTTGTTTTCCTCGGACCCTAAGGGAATCACACAGAACGGATCTCGCCTCATGATGCAAGGAGTAGGACCAAAAAACATGCTCGATGTCGTGATAACCGTTTCCACAGGTACACAAGTTGCTGTCGACAAGCATAATACGGAAGAAGTGGGCGTTTAACGAACAGTGATTGGACATGAGCCTGGACATTACCCGAATAAAATCACGACTCATATCCAACCCTTTGAACCAGGGTTTGATCGACACCTGTGAGACAATATAATGTAGCCATCTTCCCAGATCATCATCATTCCACTTTTGTTGCCAGTTGGCGAGGACTTGCTGACGAGAAATCGTGAAAAATTCGTGGTAGGAGATTTGTCGCTCGTAAATATCACCTTCCATAGCGCCCACCTTGGCCAGCGAGTCCGCTTTCTCATTGCCCAGGATAGAGCAATGAGAAGGGACCCATACCAAGGTGATGATGTGCGAGTTGTTTGATAAAGCACTTAATGACGATCGTATTTCCTGGAGTGCTTCATCGGCATCATTGAACACATAGCCTCCAGGCAGCTTAGGCTATCCGTAAAAATGAAATAATGGTCAGGTGGAAGTGAGGCAATACGCTCTAACGTGTACGATATAGCTGCTAGTTCAGCAACGTATACGGAACACGGTTTTTGAAGCTTGTATGAGGCGCTATGAAGATCGTGGAATACTGCAAAACCAGTGGACGCATTTATCACCGACCCATCTGTGAAAAATCTCTTCTCGGTGGGGACGTGGCGGTATTTGTTCGCAAAAATAGTTGGGACAATCAGGGAACGGTGAGGCTCTGGAATTCCTTGAATCTCCTTCCCTTATTGTGGATTGTCAAAGAACAACTGAAATGATGGGAGACAGCGCGATTGGGGTTGAACGAGGAGGGGCCGATGTCCAGAGTCATGTACTCGTAGTACAAGCTCATGAATCGTGTTTGAGGATTCCGCTCTAGCAGATTCTCAAAGTTTTCGATCACCAGCGGGTTCATGACTTCACAGCGGATGAGGAACCGGAACGATAAATCCGCAAAACGATTTGTTAAGGGTAGGACGCCCGCAAGAACTTCAAGATTCATGGTATGCGTCGATTGCATACAACCTAGCGCAATTCGAATGCAACGATATTGAATCCTTTGGAGCTTCAATATGTGCGTCCCCGCCGCCGATTGAAAGCAAAAGCTAAAGTACTCCAAAATCGAGAGAATGGTGGTCTTGTAGAGTCTTATCAGATCTTCCGGATGGGCTCCCCATGAAGTGCCGGTAATGGAACGAAGGAAATTGATTCGCCGTTGGCATCTCTGCCTTAGATACGCTATGTGTTTTCCCCAAGTGCACTTGGAATCGAACCAGACACCTAAATACTTAAACGACATGCTGTGAGTGATTGTTCTACCCATAAGTTGAAGCTGAAACTGTGCTGGATAAAGCTTCCTAGAAAAAACAACCATCTCTGTTTTCTCCGGAGAGAATTCGATACCCAGATTCATTGCCCAAGTAGACAAATTATCCAAGGTATCTTGCAATGGTCCTTGCAGGTCCGGTGCTGTTGGTCCAACCATGGAAACCACGCCGTCATCTGCAAGCTGCCTTAGCGTGCAATTTTCGACCTGACATTCATCAATGTCTTTGACATAGAAATTGTACAGGAGGGACTTAAACATGAGCCTTGTGGAAGACCCATGTAGCTGATTCGTGCAATTTCCGAGTTGCCAGGAGAGAAGCTCATTCGTTTCTCGGACAACAAATTAAACAGGAAATTGTTGATAATCGGAGAAAGCCCACTCGCATTGAGTTTATCCGAAAGGATGTCGATGCAAACAGAATCAAACGCCCCTTTAATGTCCAAGAAAACTGAACTCATTTACTGAAAAAAAAAATATATGTATTGAAAGCCCCTCCCCCTCTCCAACTTGAAAATAAGCGCTGAAGACAAGTGAAGAAATTTGATCGTTGAAGACCTTTCTCAAAACACCGGTTACGCCTGGTGGGAAGTTGACTGCGATTTGCCGTTTTGGATTGGTTTATTTCGAATCCGGTTCTCTCTTCTCCTAGACCCTCACTATTTTTCACTATTGTCCAGATTTTGACATGTCCATCCATTGCTTCGAAATTGACGCCCGAAGCGACGTTGTCCACCTGATAACCGAATGATAGGCAGGCACTAGGCAGTACTCAGTAAGTACGCGTAATTAACTGCCTTATCATGTGCGGTAAATTCCTGGATCGTACCAGTTACAGCGTACACGAGCCGATCGATCGATTGATTGTAATCTTGCACATTACCAGTATGTAGGTATAACGTATAACCAATGACCTGATACTGCTGATAGTTTGGGATTGTACCGGATCCACTACGGGAAGTCTCAGCAAGCGTTACTCTGTTGCAACAATTGTACTGGAACGCAGTAGGTCATGACAAGTGGCGAGCGTGACACTATTAGGTGGGAATCAAGTTTATCCGAATCTCACATTCAATTTACAGATCACCTGCAAAAACAAACTACGTCAGATGAAATTGATAGAAATACAATCACCACCCCCTGCAGATAATGGCTGCTGAACTACGCGACGGTGTTCAAATAGAAATGTTATCATACAATCCGTAAGATTAGAAAATTATCTCCTTTCGCACAGTGCATTTGTCGGGAGGAATTGTCTCGTTACGGCAAAGAGCGAGAAAATCCGTCACTAGGCTAAGGAAGTCTCGTAACGTGCCAACGTCAGAAACGAATAAATAGGGTTAGAATAATCTATTAATTTCACTAATTTACTGCGCCATTACATGAAGGATTATTAATTGATACATGTTTTTATTTTTAACTAATCACATGGGGAAAAAGGCGGGAATGATCGTCATCCACGGACGATCTATGGGGAAGCCGTGAAAAAAAACAACAACAGAAAACCAGTCGCACGAGTTGCGGTGGATAGTGACGCCAATGAAGAATAGACGCATTACCATCATCAGAATTGTTTGCCTATTTGTTTGTAAGATTAGTCTTGCTTGTTTGTCGCGTGAAAGTTTTTATTGAAGCTGAAACGTATGCGAATGGTATCTCAAATATGTACAGACAAATCTCCCTAACTCGAGATTGAGGGGATCTTCGAGTTAGGGAGAATGTCGAGTTACACGGAGGTAAATTTTGGAAATTTTCATCCTTGGAGAGATCGAGTAAGCGAAAGTTGACTGTACAAAAATGTCGACCCCCTGAGGTGCGGACCAATAAAATAATTCCGAACCGGGTGGTGACCTGATGACCACAATCGTGGTTCACGCGGCTCGGGATGATAAGAGGCACCTTATTGCTTCATGTATGGAGGGAAATGACAGCTGTATTGCACCACACAATTGATACAGATAGTAGGTATTTGCAATCTCACCCGAAATTCCCGCAAAAATCGGTCGTGTTGCGAACTCCTGGTTCACTTGTTTTGGCTGATGTTCAAAAATACTCCCATCGCGTAGGCACTGAGAGTCGTTGTCATGGCATCTACACACTACAGCTCAACGCCAGTCTGCACTCTATGCTATCTTCTTTGCCCGTATAGAGACGTTTGTATGCATACAGGGGACCAGCGCTGCTAGTAAACATGTTTATGTTTGTATGGGAATTATTCGCAGGACGAGGAAGATGCGCGCCGAGCCTCTGTACTTTTCCTACACCAACAAACAGACGACCGATGATTGGTCGTCGGACGTTGATAGTAGATAGAAGCGCAACAGTGCTTCGTAGATGAGTTTTCCCTGTACCGATTCCAGTGTTATAAAGCTGGGAGCTTCTCGAGTGGAATCCTTAGTTTACCGGTAGCAAGCGTTGCAAAAAGGTTGTTGGAAGAATCTTGTGGTGAATTTGAAGCATAGTGCCTTACATTTGTAATTGAGAAACAGTAAATCGAAAGCTGAGTAAAAATGGACACACTGTACATTGGCAACCGAATATTTGTAAATACGGAACACCGTCCGGATCTGTTTGCCGGCGGAATCCTGGTGTCGGGAGTTGATGGAAAAGTGACGCAGATTTTCGATACACCCAGCGATGTGACCTTTTATTTGCAGTATAATGATGCTGAGGTAGGATCAGTGGAAGAATGAATTTGTATTTTCCGTTAATTCCTATGTTTATAGTTTCATGACTCATTCGAAATGACTTAATACTACAAGAAGTGAAAGTGTTACAAACGACTAAAATAGCATTGTTTTTGCGATTTAGGCACTTATTCGTGATGTTTGGGGCCTCCCGTAGCTCAGTCGGTGAAGGCGCAGCTACAAAGCAAGGCCATGCTGGAGAGGCGGCTGGGTTCAATTCAAGGTCCGGTCTAGGAATTTTCGGGTTGGAAAATTTCTCGACTTCTCGACTGATTGTACTTGCCACACAATTAATCTAATGGTACAGGCATCGAATGCTCTCAATTAATAACTGTGGAAGTGCACCTAGAACACTAAGTTCAGAGAACGCAATAAGCTAATATGCGATAAGCAATAAGCTTGAAATTCGAAGAAGAAAAATAAGAAGAAGTAATTATGTTAGTTTTGAATGTACTACCCACACTGAAAAAAAAAATCTTGCTGTTTCCATTGTGAACGCACATGATGTTTTTATAATAATAAAATCAATTATTTTTATCTGAAATTCACATAACATTCATATGATCACTTGAGTTCTATCATATACATTTGATTGGACACATTCAGTTCATGTGTTTTTGTGCTGCGATTCCCAGTTATGAGATCACATGAACGTTTTGTAAAATTCTAATGCTTAAAGTGATTTATTTTTTGAGTGTACATTAGGATCAGTGTACTTCCACTCACTTGCTATAAAAAATTGTATTTCCGAATTATGAAAACATGAGATGTTATAATGATACTAAGCACTTGTAAGTTACAAGAAGAGCTCGTGAGGTATGTGTTTACTCACTCTGAGTGAACGCTCGCGAATCATAAGACTCATACTTTACACTTTCTTCTTGTAACTTACTTTTATAGCAAGTGAGTGGGTTATGAATCATCGCACTGGAGGGGGGCCTATCAGAAATTCATAACTTTTATTTCAAAATGAAGCACCCTAATGTACATATATCAACATAGAAAGAAATTGAGACATTCAATCAAAGTGTGTTGTTGCTTCATACGCAAAGTTTACATTTTCAGTGTTGAGAGAAAATGCTATACTAATATCAAAATGAAGCTTTAGTGCTATAATTTATAAGCTAGATAAAGTTCTGAAAAGGATAGATTGATAATTTCGCTAGAGTGGCCATTAATGCGACAATACTAATCAAACGCGCACTCCTTTACCTAACTCATACACTGATGGATGAGGGGATTTGAAGTATGTCCTCAAGTCCACAGGCAAAAGAGTGCGCGTTTGACTTGCTCATATACTGGCTGCGGCTGTGGAATAGTTCTAGCGACGTTTATTACTACCTAACGCCCCACGTTGCCGAAAGCATTTCCAGGCGATGGTGTGAAATTGAGGTTAGGATATTCCCGTTCAGAATAAATAATAAGTGATAGTTTGTGCAATTTCGATTGTACCATTGCAGGAATTTACTGAAAAATTAGCTAGTGGGATTTCACCAAAGTGATATTTTTGACGTAGGACTACGTCTGTGATTTTTATATACCGAAAATGGAACATGTAACAAAATTATGAAAGATTTTGAACGTTAATAACTCAACTGCGAATGGATCAATTTCAATAATTTTATCACCAATCGATCAGAAATATTTCAACGCATCTGTTAAATTTAAGGTATTATCATTTTGCAGAATGTCACTATTGAAAATTGCACGAATGTGCAACTGTTGCTATGATAATTAAAATTATCACCGATTGCCTGCGAAAAGTGATTTTCCCTATCACAGATTTCAAAGTTGAATTCCGTCAGATCTCACCAGCGAGCTGCAGCCCACATTAGCACGCATAGAAGGAGGAAGAAGCCGCATAGCTATTGATCGGAATCAGTAGCTCTTTGTGAGTCGCTGTAGGCCATCTATGTCAAGCGCTTCATACTAAAGAGTGTAAACAAAGCGAACCCCGCTCAAATTCCTATTCCTACACAAAACACTTGTTCCTGCTGCAGTTAACATTTATTATATAAGACCACGTAGTCCTACGTCACCATTGCGTACAACCCGATAGGGCTGTCCCTTGTAGTTTTTAATAATTTTTAAGTTGGGAAATAATGTCACAGAAGATGAGATTTTATTCGGGAAGATTTTAGTTGGAAACCTGCATAAATAGTGATCGAAAAAATTCAGTTTTGATACCTGAAAAAATCTGGAAAACTCAGGGAATATCGTTTCAAATCTTGAGTTAAATTTAAAAAAAATATTTAAGAACCATCCATAAAGGACGTAGCATATTTTGACCAATTATAGCCCCCCCCCCCCCAGAAGTTGTGACCGGCCATGTAGGGGAAATGACTGCTTCAGCAATACCTTAACCTATTATCGTCAGGGGGTAAACAACTCCCTAAGAGCTCAATTTTGGCATGTGGATACATTGTGTTTCAGAGCGTTAAATATTTAGTGCTCTAGGACATTGTTTAATCTCTGACGATAATAGGTTAAGGTATTGCCGAAGCCTATATTTCCCCTACATGGCCGGTCACAACTTCTGAAACTCTCTCAAATGCTACGTCATTTATGCATTTTCCCTTATGCGGTTGACATTTATGCGGCGAATTTGACTCTTTGATAAACTCTTCGACTTTATCACATTCGACCTAATGACGTTCAGCCTATAGGCATCTGACCTAATCCTCCATCATCAAACAATGTTTGCCTCCCTTCCTATTTTGAAACCTGGCTTGATTAGCTCAGAATCAGGTTGCCTGGAAATTATTCTCGGATGGAATTCTCTTCGAATTTATCTCAGAATTCTTCGAAATATTTAGAGAAAATCCTCGATTTTTTTTAAATATGTATTTGATTATTTTAGTATTCTTCTTTTGGATCCATTCTTAGAATTACATTCTCTTGAAATTATTACTGGCCTTCTATTGTAGACCCCAGGTCAAGTCCCCAATGTCCTAAGAGTGTTAAAGTAACTAATACGAAAACTCCCTTGAAACTCTCCTCAGAATTCCTTTCAAACTAAACTTCCTTGAAATGCTTCTGAGAATTCCCTTGAAACACTCCTAGAAATTCCTTGGAATTCTTGTTAAAATTCACTTGGAAATATTAAATTCTTTTGGTTTACTTGTCAGAGGTCTTTTGGGTCGATCGTTATTTTATTCCCTCGAAATTCTTACTGGAATTCTCTTGTAAATTTCCTCAGATTCTCTTGAAATATTGGAGAATTAAGGAGAAAAGTTCATGGATTTTCTGGTAAGAGTTCAGATTACTTCGAAGGATTTTTTTTTTAATTTCGTGGGAATTTTGAAGAAAAGTTATGGAGTCTCTGGGACGTTTGGAGGAACGGTTTGGTTTTGATTCAGGAACTTTTTAGAAGGAAAGTTCAAAAGGTATTTTTAGGGAGAACAATTCTTTGATTTTCTGATAAAAGTTCGGGTTACTTCAAAGGAAAGTTTAGGGAACTTCGGTGAAAAAAATTAGGGAATTTTGGAGAATAGTTTTGTTAAAGTTTAAAGAATTTATGAGAAAACGTAAAGAAATTTTGAAAAACGATTTATAAATTTTCAGAGAGCTTGATCAGCTCGGGCGTCTTTGGATAGAATTTCAAAATTCGGGGATCTTCGGAGAAAAAGTTAATAAATCATCGGTATTCAGAGATATTTCAGAGTTCAAGTATCTTTGGAGAAATATTTAGCAGAGTGACCAGTGCACCGGAAAATCGGGAAAACCAGAAAAAAAGCTGGAAATTCGAAGTCACCGGGCAAAATCCAGGCATTTCGAGGATAAATTACAAAAAAATATAGTTCGTAATTTGTTCGAAAAAAAAAAATTAAATTTTGGTGTTTGAGAAAAATTTAATTCCATTGGACTGGACTAGATTTATAGGATACAGTCACTTAGAAGAATTATTGAGGGAATGTTAGATTTTTTTCAAAGAAAGCAGAGCAGATTTTAGAATAAATTCTAAGTATTTCAGAGAAAATGACCTAGGGAGTTTTGGGATGAACTCTAAGAGAGTTTTTACTAGAATTCCAAGTAAATTTTGTGAGTTCAGATCTGTGGAAATTTACCTGGCGATTTTGAAGAGGATTTCAAGATCCGTGAAAAATACCACTTTATTTTTTTAGGGTACAATTCCAATGGAATTCTTTGAATTTTTAAAAGGAAATTCCGAGGATAATTTCAAGGGCATCTCGAAAAGAACTTCTAGGTAATGTTAAGGTCAATTCCAAGTGAATTTTCTGAATAATTTAGAGGAGAACTTCACGATAATTCTGAGCATAATTTTAAAACAATTCTAAGGTGAATTGGATGAGAACTCTAAAAAATGAAAGGAAGCTCCAGTGGATTCTTAAAAAAAAAGGTAAAAATTCGAACATAGTCTTAGGACGAATTTCGTGAATTTTTGAGAGTGTTCTGCAGAGAATGTCTGGACTCCTATAAAAAAAAATCATGTGGCTCCCATAGAGAAGCTCAAATATACTCAAGAAGAATTATAAAAAAAACCTTTGTGAACGGAAATTAAATTGAGAAACTTTTATGGAAAATGCTTGAGAACAATCAGTTTAAATCCTGTTGAGATTTGAGTGAATTTGCATAGCCAAATTTTGAAGTCTTCGACGGAGAACCAAATTCAAAATCCAGAAAAATGTTGCTGTCTTAATAATGATCCATTTAACCTAGTGATCTCTTCAGCTTAATCGTATTCGCTTTTATGCTTAATTAAAAAAAAAGTGAGAAAATTTCCAAAATTCCGGGGAAAACCTGGAAATTGCTAAACGGGATTTGCTGGTCATCATTCTGCTGAGAGCATCACGTACACTGTACCAAAACGTCATCATCTGTTCGAATAAATGTTCCGTCTATTCATATCGAAACATCTAAATCGCTTTTGCGAATGATTATCGATACAAGAAGCGAACGGATTCATACGAACAGAGGATGCTGTTTTGGCACAGTGTATGCCATTGATTCATGACGTGCTCACGATAGGCAACTTTAGATAACGAATTGAACCCTTAGGTCACTAGGGTTGTATCAATTTGTTGTAACCATCATTATGTTTTGCCTTGCTATTTATGTATTCCAAAAGTAACGAGCGATTTATTATTACCAATGATAACACGACAATCATCCCAACAACAAAGACGCAAGTTCATTAGCATTCATTTCACCTACATTTTTCGCACTGAGACTGACGAATCCTCGGCTTTTCGCTCCTCACAATCTTCTTTATGTTGTTTTGGCAACATTTTTTTTCCCATCTGTTCAATTCACTCGCATTGTATATGCTCCGTGTCCGATAAGCGTCCGAATTGACCCCCCCTCCCGGGGGGAATGGTTTCTGCCAAAGATGATGATGCCAAAAAAAAAACATTTTGACCCAGATAAGATAGTGCGAGCGTCTCCGAGAAAGCCAAGTCGCAGACGACGTTATCTGAGCAACCGCCATTCCATCCACGTCATTCATAAGACATAAAAAAAAGCAAAAACTGACCGTCCGTTCATATGTCCTCACGCAGGTATACGATTTCGGTGATCTGGTCGTGATGCCGGGGTTGATCGATTCGCATGTCCACATCAACGAACCGGGCCGAACGGAATGGGAGGGGTTTCACACGGCTACGAAGGCTGCCGCTGCCGGAGGGTTTACCACCATCTGCGATATGCCACTGAATTCCATTCCACCGACGACGAGCATGGCCAATCTGCGAACGAAAATCAACGCGGCCCGGGGGAAGATCTTCGTCGATGTCGCCTTCTGGGGTGGAGTGGTTCCTGGCAATACCCACGAGTTGCGCGATATGATGCAGGCTGGAGTGGTTGGCTTCAAATGCTTCCTCTGTCCCAGCGGCGTAGATGAGTTCCAGTATGTCGGAGAGGACGACCTGCACCAAGCCCTGCAGAAGATGGATGGAGCCGGATCCGTGCTAGCTGTAAGTGTTTCACCATCAGCGAAGTCTTGCTCATCCTCTAATTCCAATTCATATTTTAGTTCCACGCCGAGGTCGAATGTAAATCCCACCAATCCCACTCCCACGATCAAAATCCGAAACAATACGATACCTTCCTCCAGGCACGTCCAGACCAGATGGAAGCGGATGCCATCAAACTGGTCTCGAAGCTTTCGCAAAAGTACGACGTACACTGCCACATCGTGCATCTATCGGCAGCTCAGGCTCTTCCCTCGATTCGGGAAGCTCGTTCGAATGGAGCCCAGCTGACTGTGGAAACGTGCCACCATTATCTGTCCATTGCCGCGGAAGATATTCCTGATGCCCACACGGAGTACAAGTGCTGTCCACCGATTCGTGGGAAAAGCAATCAGGAGCTGCTGTGGCAGGCAGTTTGCGACCGGGAGATCGATATGGTCGTGTCAGATCATTCGCCCAGCACACCCAGCATGAAGCTGCTCACGTCCGGCAAGGATCGTGGGGATTTCCTCAAAGCGTGGGGAGGTATCTCGTCGGTTCAGTTTGGATTGCCCCTGTTTTGGACCAACTGTCAGCGGTATGGTTTGAAGATTCCGGATTTGGTAAGGCTGCTCTGTACGGAACCGGCCAAGATGTGCGGAATCGATCGGGTCAAAGGTCGCCTGGAGGTGGGATACGACGGGGACATCTGTGTGTGGGACCCGGAGGATACCTTCACGGTGACGCACGATATTATCGAGTTCCAGAATAAGGCGAATCCCTACATGGATAGGAAGCTGCGTGGGGTGGTTCATGCGAGCTTTATCCGCGGCTATCCGGTCTACAGACTGTCGGAGAAGTTTGGACTCCCGCTGGGGAATATTCTGATGAAAAAGGCTAGCAGGAGGGGGTCCAAGGCGATGAAGTTTGATTAGGATAGGCTAGGGGCTAGGTTGTTTTAGTAGTTTATTTGTTTTGTACATAGTGTGATAGGTTTAAAGTGTTTTTAGTAGGTATGATGCTCTTCTTTTATGAATAAATTATTCGGAAGATTTTTAGAACTGGTGGCAATTAATAAATCCGAAAGCGAAAGCGATAAATAGTAAATAGTAAATATTTGTTTATATGGTTCGAACGGTTCGAAGGAAAGCAAGAATATGGTGATACTATATTAATTCCATAGTTTTTTTTTAGGGATTCATTATTCGGCCGACACGAGCGCCATGACGACGAAAAAGTGCACTGTTAATATCACCTGCATGAAGCGGCGTGGCTTGAAGTAGAACAGTTGGGCCAAAATAAAAAGTGTTTTCAGTATTTGTGGTATTTCCTGCTTTTTTGTCAAATTGCGTTGTACAATTATTTGATTCGACAGCTCTGACAAAATCATACTTTTTTTCGAGAAATTGTATAGTACTTCCTAAAGCGGTACAATATACCTCCGTAACCCTAGTTTAGCTTTTCTCAATCTATATGGGTCGTGAACCACCGTGGGAAATTTATGTATTTCACGCCGATTTTTTTTCCTCTGTTCGGGACCTAACACTACTGCGACCAGTAAATTGATCTATTGTAGTATATCCCGTGTCCTTAGTTTAGTGCATGTCGTATTACTGCATCACTATTGAGAAATGATGAAGTATTCGATTTTTTACAGTTGCCACTCTTGCATTTATCGCAAGGATCCGACTCTAATTGAAAGGTCCCGCTATTTACACCCTTCGGAGTGTTGAAACACCCTCCAAAGGCGCGCCCCTTTGTCAGTCAAAATTGGATTCCTAGCAACAAAATTAAGGAGTGACACCGATAATGACCATGCATCAGAACCCTAGTCTTAACCACTTCAAACTAGGGAACAACGAATGGAAGATTAGGAATCACATAGATGAAGACTAACTAACTCATTTTTTTCCTTGTTTCAAGATCATCCTGCAGTAGACAAAGCCAAGTCTTGTCACAATCAACAAGGCATAAAAAGTAACAAAGACTAAGATGTGTTCCTTGGATTACTGAAAAATCCTGTTCCCCTAGTTTGAAGTAGTCAAGACTAGGAATCGGTGGTAGATCTTACATCCCGTAACGTACCACGAAAAGGTGATCTACCCACGTTACGGGGCAGATTAAATGTCAATCTGTTTTTAAGTTTCAGGTAGTATATACCCATACAGCATCATATTATATCCATAGTAGACAACATCTGTAGTCAATATTAAAAGGTTGGGAGCTTATTAAATTACTTCGCGGCTTCGGCTTGTGTCGTTAGGGATCATCTTTCTGATGACTGTGTTAGGGGTGAGCACCTTGTGGTCGAAGAAAATGTATGGGAAATTTGAATATTTCAATTTTTGTTCATTGTTAACTATTTAAATATGTAAAAATTATAATGTGTGATATACCACACAAATCTTATAACACTGATGAATCGATCGACACAGAAATCATCAAAATCTATTGATTATTGGCCAAGTTATAAGCATTTAAAGTCTGACCAATTTTTTGGCGAATCCCAAAAGACGTAGTCGTACGTCAAACAATTCCAACCACCCACTTCAATATAATGATCTTTCCTTCCCATGGCGATCATGAAGCCTGCATGTGGCGAGTCAGCCATTACCATTACTCCTTAACTATCGGTCTTGGATTGCCTTGCGCTCTTAAAGGGCGAACACGAAATTATTGCAACACGTTGAATTTGCTCCCAAATGTTACGTATTTATCAGATAAAATCCTAATTTGTACGGTAGCTCAGTATACATATATTGGATCAATTTTTGCTAGCTAAAATGCCCAACACTTTTGCTTCACGCCGTCCATAGAAGTTTGTACAGTTATACCTTTTTCTCATTTTTTATCCATTTTCTCCGCATGTCATTTGCTTTCTTTACTTTCTCCTTGGTCTTTCTGAGTTCCCGCTTCATCATGACCCAATAGGTTCCGATTGGGCGTAGTTCTGGGCAGTTCGGTGGATTCATGCCCTTGTGACAAAATGCACCGCATTAGCCTCATACAATTCCAGCGCGCTTTTAGAATAGTGACATGAAGCTAAGTCGGGCCAAAACAATGGTTTTTCACTGTGCTTCCTCCAAAAATTTTGAACATTTAATGGTAGCAGACAGTTTTGGAGGCATTCATTTTTGTTAAATTCACCATTTATGATGTCTTTTGTGATGAATATTTCACTTATTTTTCCACATTTTATTTTTCTTGATACGTACATCCACTTGGAACTCGACAGTGATCATGCATAAGGGCGTAAACGCGATGATCGATTTTCTTCGTCGATTTCCTCTTTTGTTAATCACTCGCTAGAAATTAACGTTTCTCGGTGCGTTTGCTGTTGTTTTTGATAGCCATTACAACCTGTTACAACTCTGCATTAAACAAATTCTAGAAAATTGTTTCGCTTAGCTGTAGCAATGCAAAGAGAATATCGACGAAAAGAATCGATCATCGCGTATACACCCTTATGCATGCTCACTGTCGAATTTATCTTTTCCAGTGTAAAACTCCTGTCCTGGTATTTTTTAGAAGTCAGCTTTGACGTATGTTTCATCATCCATCACACAGCAACTGTGTCTGGTCAACATTTCCGTGTAAAGTTTCCTTGCGCTGGTTTTGGCAATAGTTTGCTTAGGGAAGTAGTTTGGGAAGTTTTGAACCTTGAATGCATGCAATCCAGCTTTTGCCTTGACCTTCTGCGCGTAACTTTGCGAAACACCGACCGTTTTGACAACATCACGTGTTGAAATGTTGGGATTTCGGGCGAAATTACCCTTCACCTTTCTCTCCGTTTTCATACATGCTGCTCCCGGTTTCCTTCCTGCTCCGTGCTTGTGATCCAGTGTCAACCGGTCCTTGAACCTGTTTTTAGCTCTTGATACGGCTGAATTATTGATATGCAGTATTTTTCCTACAGCACCATGGGACAGCTCCGGATTTTCCATGTAAGCGTACAACATTTCTTCATGCGTCTTCACTTGACTCACTTCCATCTTAGCCGTATCGAAATAGACAATAACGCAATTTACAGGATGTAAGCAATACACTTCAAAGAGAAACTATGCAAAGTTTGGTTAATTTCCGCCTAAAGGCTGACTAAAAGTAAATTGGTACGCCCCTCTCGCGCCGCTAGCACGCCTCTAGTGCTGGGAATCTAAAATCTTTGACCGTGGTTTGTTTACACACAACTGGTGCAAGTTTGAACAAAGTAGTCGATCGCGTTTAGAAATAACGTCAAATGGAACTCGAAAGAAGACAAAATATTGCGCACAAACACCTGGAAAATCCGGAGTGGTTCGCTTTAATAAAAATAACCATTAGAAAGAGCTTAACGACGTGTTCGGGGTATCATCCAAACCACTTGTGGGATTGTTATACCATCCGGGTTACCGTTCGTTTATGGTATTTGTTTATTAGGGCGGTTCCAAGCTGGCTAAAGTGCTAAAGATGCTGAAAACAACAGGTTGTCGAGTGCTCAAAACCTACAATGAAACCCTGAGTATGGATAGGAATCAGTGGACCTACGAGAACACTGGAACCAGGGATCGTCAGCTGTGCAGCAAGGTGTTGAGGTGCTAAACTTATTGAATCATGAATTACAGGTCTTTTTGTGGGTACCAATTTACTTTTAGTCAGCCATTAGTAGAAATAAAGATACAGCCAGTTTGTAAGTGTTACAATAATTTCGTGTTCGCCCTTTACTGCCCCCCACCCTGCGCTGCAAAATGAAAATGAAAATGGAATAACAGCGTAACAGAACGAGTTTGAAAACAGATGGAGAAGGACAATATATGCAAGTTGGGCTTAATACACTTAATATGTGACGACAGAAGACTTAATATGTGACGACAGAAGACAAGACTGGAACAAAAATCAACCTTTAAAAACGGGAATGCGCAACTATTTGGATCAACACAAAAACAACAGTGACCAAGTGGACACCATAGCCTACGAACGTCTGTGTTACCGAACAACTAATGATAACAAACAAACAAACGATAATTTACCTCCTGCGTAAAAAATGTCGTGGAAAACACTGGGGAAAACCTGGAAATAACCGGAAATTTGATTAGAAGCTTAAATTATATTCTTAATGTAGATTCTGTTAAAATATTCTAATACAGATATCTGGAATATTTTGCTTAAATGTCTAAATATTAAAATTTAAATTGGGAATTTAAAAATTAAGTCTGACATATACAAAACAGCAATGTCTCAGAGTTTCAAAAACTGGTCAAGTCCAAGATCGAGAATCCAAAGCAATTTTTACGCCATGGACTCGTGTTTTATCGAACCTCCAAATGTTTTTCGAAATCAGAATCTCCTACAGAGCTACTCAGAATGCTCAAAGTTGCCTGTGAAGTCTCGTCTTTGGCACCCCTCGCGGAAATCCATTTAAATTATTTTAAAGTCCTTATGGAATCTCTTAGAAATTCCTTTGAAATTATCTTTAGCTTGAAATTATTTATAAATATACTTTTTTAAAGTTATATTCAGATTTATTATCGCCGAGGAATGCTATCCTCAGGATTCTCTTTGATTCATTGATTGATTATATAGATTTTCAGGCCTGAGAAAATATATCATATTAAGTTTGTCTTTCGGTTAACTAATTTCGAATTCTCGTTCGGATTCCTTTGGAAGGCTCCCTTAAATTCCATCAGAATTTCATTAGAATTCCTGGTTCATATTCTCCATAATGGTTTTTTCTGATAAAGTCTGGTCCACTTAGAATCCGGGCACTTTATTTATCCTATAGCAGCGCGTCTAGTGGTTGGATTTAGAATGTTTTGACAGCGATTTGTTTTGAAAGGACACGTGTTTCATTGGTAAAAGTTTCGTCTCGATACGTGCAGTGTTAAAAAAGTTGTACTAGATGGAAAACGAGAAAAAAAAAAAGATCCTGCATACCCATGTGGTTGACGGGTCAATTCGAAATATCGCGAAAAAGTTGAAAATTGCTGTTTCTACTGTGGGAGATGTCCTCAAGCGGTTCCGTGATCGCAAGAGTGTGGCCCGGAAGGTTCAA